TTATGTTGGAATAAAACATCAGAAGCAAAAGAAGGTGCATACCAAGATTATGAACTGGAGAATATTTGTCTCCATTTATGACAAGGTTCATAAGAGCAATTGACTAATTTTTGTATGATAACTACTATGACGATTGTATCACAAAAGCAATAATTACTGATTCTACAGTTAATACAACAAAAACAAATGTAAGCATTCCTCGACTAAACTTCCTTGTTTCAAGATTCATGTTAAGGCCCCAGATGCTGTGAGTGACATTATACCATAATCATATGCATACTTCAATTAACAGACTGCCAATCAATTAGAGGGTCACCAGCTGGATCATTGTTTAAAAAACTACTCAATCCTAACAACCAATGATTAAATTACTGACAATGGCAACCAAAAAATGAATATGGGATGGGTATGATAATTTCATGATAACTTCTTTTATTCTTTAAGTTCCTATTACTTTTTTTTCTCAGTTGAGAGATAAAAAGTAATCAATTTTGGGATTTTTTTTATCCTGATGGAAATAGTGTAAGGGGAGGCAGCAAGGAAATGGGATAGCCAGCCAATAAGAAATAAAAAGAAAATTTTGTGATGGACTTCAAATGTACTAGTAATAAAATCTGTCCTTTCCCATTAAAGCAGTTAAGTCCAACAAGTATTGCTCATGAAAGTTTTTTAGAGAGTGACTTTTGATGGAAATAACAATTTGGTTCATTTGGTTAAGTACATTATGGCACAGCAAGACAAATATGTTATATTGTGCCTTGGCAATTGGACTAAAGTGCCTTACCTATTGAAAAGTAACTGAAACTCGCACAGGCTGGTCCTATGATAAGATCTGAACCTGTGCTCTTTCGACTACAAGTCTGGAACACTAACAACCAAGTCACCACAGCTCCATGGAAACAAGAAAACAGTTTTAATTTCCGCATAATTCTGGAAATATTTACTTAAATAATAAATATACTTCAAAAAACAGACTCCAGGATGACGATATTGATGATAGTAATTTATACATCATCAGTTATTATTGTACGTAGGAGGCCATACTATGCTTTGCCACAATACAAGGACTTATTTCCTGATTTCAGCATTTTGTTTTTTATTTTTTTACAAAGCTGTATATATAAACATGAATTTAATTCATAAAATCATCACTTAGTTTTTTTAAAATCTTTTTTACCATATTTTATATGACCATACTTACCACTCCTAATCCAGTGAAAGATTTCTTTAATAGCATTTTACAAAATTAACTCTTAGATAGATTTACCATACCTTGAACTTTAATTTATTTTATTCATGGATGTCAAGTCATATAAGGAATATTTAAAAAAAAAAATGTCTATCTATCTCAATCTCGTGGTCTGGACTAAATTCCCACCCCCACCCCAAATGGTATGTAGGCATCATCTCCCCACCCCCAAATGGCATGTAGGCATCATAAAACAAGCAGAGTTAACTTTCATATCTGTGAAATATGGCTTAATAAGGCAACAGTAAAATGCCCTTTAGGACATTTATCACCAACAAAATATTCTTTATATGCCAAAACTGTTAAGCATGTTATACATGGAGCATTCAAAAAATTGGAAAAACTTCTTAACTGAAATATGGCACCATGGGTCCATAATAACAGTTCTTATACACTTTCATAATATCAATTTTAAGGTGAAATGATTATATATACGTAATGCTGGTTATGAAATAAAAAGAAACATAAAGAAAAACAAACAATCTTCAGAATATTCATTTCAGGACCTTATTCCCAGACATCATGTATTAAAGAATAATAGGCTTTATATAAGTCCACGAAGCAATATTGATAGTCCCTGTAGATCTTCAGTGAAATATGCCTCCACCCCCTGTAACTTTTTTTCTTCGTGACTATTTCATAAATTGTTCAAAAGTTCTTAAACAAAATGTTTGATTCAATCTTTGCCAGCAACATACATGGAGCTACACTTATTAAAAATATAATATAATAAAAATAACATTAATTATTAAACTGAACAAATACAACATTACATAAAAAATAAAATATGTAGAAGATGTGTTCTTTTCGTTTGTTAATACAGATATATTTATTGTGTGATACAAAAACATATTTTAATGAGTGGCAAAGCCACAAGATAAAATATATCTTTTTTTTAAGAGACACAAGATGAAATATATTTGAAATATTTATGCAGAAAAAGAAAATTTTATATATCAAACTTGCTTGAGAAGCAAAACTTAGAAGATATAATTCCCTCTTCAGCATAACACCCCATCTCACCCGTTTCATAAATGAAACTCACTTTCATAGGGTTATCATATAAATATCTGTGACTTAAGACAACTGTAGTTTCTTGCATTAAATTGCATTTCAGATATTTTGCAAACTATTTGATCATATCTGACCACAAATCAAGTCAAATTCAACAGTACATCACTGAATGTTTATTGCTGTTGTCAAAGTAAAGGGAAATAACTTCATAAAGATGCAAACAATAAAGTCAAATTTCTTCAGCAAAACATTATTTGCATGTCTGTAATGTAATGGTTTATTTGTTCTAGCTCACAATGTGCTTGCTTTTGTTACTTCAGGTATAACTTCTTTTATAAACAGACACAATCAAGTGTTCCATGATATAATATTTGATCACTTGTCTCCCAAATAAATTTTAAACAGATTTTAAGAATTTTCAATTTCTCTTAAAAGACCTAGTCCAAGAATTTACTGTGTAAATGCTCCACACTATATAAAAAATAAAAAAATAAGTTGGTGCTACTTTAACCAGCTTTTTTAAGTTTTTGTATAGATGCTTGTAGCACTGGGGTGCTGTAAATGTTGAGGTGGCAGGGTACAGTTTCATAATTTGGCCCCTGGCAAATTTCTTAATTTAAGGCTATGGCGTGACTTTTTCAGCAATTATTGTCTACTAATTAAAGATATGGATATATTTGTGAACTAGGTGTTTCGCACTTGTGTTTTTCTTGAAATTGATGTCAGGCATGAACACCTTCCATAGTTACTTTGCAATATGTTGATAGTAAAATACCAACAGTTGGCAAGGAAGAAGAGCTAGCCTCTCATAGCAGTAAACACATAGGTTTGCGGCAAAAAGAATATCTCAAAAACCGCTTGGATGACAACTATTTTTAACTGCATCAGCCTGTTTAGTTCACACTGTTTTGCAGAATTGTCATCTAGGAAAAGGGCTTATGTTTGCACTGTGAACACCACATGGTGTAACAAAATGATCTTCGGACATGAAAATTGCAGGTCTAAATTTGGGGTTGGGGTGCATAAACTACTGCTGCTATGAACTGCCACTGACTTCTTTGGTCAAGTGGATAATATTTTTATGCTTTGTTTTAATACAGGTATCTCAAAATATGGACATTCTTGACCTCACTTGTGTATTTTATTTTTTATGATTTTTTGTACTAGGTCATTGATTGCTGCATTGAATTTGTACATAAAAACTGGCCCCTGCCCTCTTGACATAGGTTTTGATGGAGTTTCCACCCTTTGAGATAATACTGTTATTATTTATATGCTTTCATCATAAATTAACACTTATTGTACATGGATTGTTTCTGTATGTTGCAGTGACCATATAATGTATATTAAAATCAGTATGCATGTAAAATGGTATCTAAGAATGACTTTATTTTAACCGTTATATTTCAGACAAGGTGCGTAAATGTAGAATGTATAAATGTGCATGTAAATAGATTTCTATGCACTTCATTTTTTAAAAAAAGTTTAAAAAGGGAGGGGACAGTATCTTAAGGGTGTATCAGCCTAGCATTATGTACATTTTAATGATACAAATCACTGTATGCTGCAGAATCTATTTACCGTAAAATCATTCTACTCCAATGATTCATTTTTTTTCTAAATAAAGCGAGGAGACATGCAACTTTTTTATAATGTACGCATGATTGTATACGTGTCAGTTTCTTTTTCGTAAACGTAATATATTGTTTCCAGTTTTGTAAATAGTGTTTCTTATTCTGTAATGCAATTCACACTCCACACAAAATCTAAATTCTATGACTATGTCCATGACAATCTTTAAAGATTCTCTACGGGCCAAGTTAGTCCGAGTTTCCTCTGACCCTTGACACCCCATTGTTGATATTTGTGTCAGTGGTCAGAGGAAACTCTGACCATGGACAAGTTTGTCGTTAAAACTAGCTGAAAACCCGCAACATTCAATGATAGAGAAGCAGCTGAACGATTTAGAATTCTGAATTGCTGAGCGAATACTCTCCAGAAGATGTTTGTTTCAGGTTGTCCCCCAATCGATGCCTCCTATTATCGCTGCCATTTAGAAAACCTAACCATTTTAAAACTTACTGAGCAGTGACATCATTATCCTGTCCAGCTGCCAAGGGTCTTTAAAATTTCTTCTTTGATGATTTGTATTGTTTTACACATGGAAACTTCGCTCAACGAGAACACAAAACGTTATTACTTCATCAATTCCCCTTACTAATAACTACTCCATTACTAAGAATTCTAAATCAGTCATGGTCAAAGGTTGAAGGTTATTGGGCAAAACCTAACATACAAGAGAGGAAAATGATTATTTCTTTGTCATGTGGAAGGTAACAAAGTGGGAAGTCATGTTAAATTTGCTATGATGTTTATAAAATTTACTCTAAATAAGTGTGAAAAGCAGGCTGACAACATGTATAGAAATTTCCTAAGTATACAGATGTTTCGTCATAGTTGTGGAGAAATACCGACGTATCAAGATTTATTTATAATAATGTCTCGGGATAAACGAAAGTGAATTTCTTCAAATCTGTGTGTGTGTGTGTGTGTGTGTGTGTGTGTGTGTGTGTGTGTGTGTGTGTTTCTTCTTCTATTTGTTGCTCGAAATTAAATTATATTTTTGTAAACTTGCATTTATACCTTAATTTGCCTTCCAACAATGAGTTTTATAACTTGAAAATAATACAATCGAGGAAAAAAGAAAGGAAAAATATATAAATATTATAACTATAACCACTCCGGTGGCCTATAGGGTTAGAGCGTCCGCTTCGGATGCGGGTGGTCGTGGGTTCTATCCCCGGTCGAGTCATACCAAAGACTTACAAAAATGGTACTAACAGCTGCCTCATTTGGCGCTCAGTATTAGCAGGTAGCAGCAGACAGGGTGAACCATACAAATTTTTGCTCGAGACATTAATGAAAAATAAAGGTTCCTACAGAGGCTAAAAAAAAGGTCTATAATACTAAACCAAAGTCTCTAACTAATTATATTTCCATACGGTTAGGTTAGCTCATTTTTGTTATACTATTATTGAAGTTATTTTATCCTGACTTTGTAAGGCGATTTTGTTTACTTGTAAAGCGACTCAATTTTTGTTGTTCTTCACCCTGCCTGCTGCTCTTGACAGTCAAGGGGAGCTAACCAAAGATTTTATCTAAACCAATCTACGAGCGTATGCATAAATTAATATATAGAGTTTCGTTTCTTAAGTCAATAATATTTCCATCCTGATTTGTAAATTTGAAATTCATTCTCGACAATAATGGATTATGTACACGCAGGTATACTTGATTTATTGGCTCAGATACAATAAGCCACCCTGGGGGTGTTTGAATACTGGACGAGTATAGTATATAGCCTTCTGGGCCTGATTAGACTTAGAGAGGTCGACGTGGTAGCTGCTATCAATTATATCGCATACTAAATTCAGTGCGATGGTTGATGTTATATTAACAATATTAGGCGAGATGTGACGACCTGTTCCATATGGGTCATTATTATATTTGAGAACTGCTGGGGGAGAAATTAATTTTTTCCAGGAATTACATATTTTTTTAAAATGTTCATCAATAAGATCACTAACTGATTTTTTTTTAGCTCATCGGAGTCATATCCAGGTATTATAAATGTTGATAATTGTTTTCTTGTAATTCCAAAATGTTTCAGAAACACTGTCGTGAAAAGATTATTTGCTCTAAATCCCTGAATTGAATCGTCTTCATTAACTATATACGCTCTATACATTCTATCTGCTGGGTTTACTAATCTTATTTAACTGTTAACAATTATATCATTCATGGTCTGAAGCAACTTGATTCAGATGTTGTATTGTTTCAATTATTTGAATTTTTAAATCATCGTTATAAGAAACATTAATGCTTGAAAATAAATTTTTTAGATAATTTAAGACACGTTCGTGTTCAGACTTAATTACTGTAGCATATGAATTTATTTCATCAACATCAAGAATCATTATTTTACATTTATTACCATCAATTATTTTTGTAAAACGGGCTTCTGTTCTATCTATATAATGTTTAACTCCATCACCAAAATGTCGTCGCCATGAATAAGTATTTTCTTTCTGATCGATATTCTGGAAGTTCTATAAATTTCCTAACATCTATGATGAAGTCGGATCGCTGTGGTTCTCTTGGACCATGATAATCTGGTGCAACTTCAGGCCATCCTAATACTGATCTAATCGAACTTTGATAAATATCCACAACATAGTCAGGATAATGTATTTCAATCACCGACGATAATGTTGGTTCATAAACAGTAATTGCTATTTTCGACTCTTTTCCGGTTATAGACTTAATTCTGCGCTGGAATTCCTCATTAATTTGCTTTATATGATAACTGCCAGTTGGAATACTAACTACTTGCCAATCTGGAGTTCCATCACACTTATTTTATTTGCGAATACTAATGAATTATTTGGTTGTTGTCCACCAAATGGTTTTGATCTAATATTAGGCCAGCTGTGTTAGTGACGATCTGCTGTAATAATTCTCTCAACTTAATATCCAAACGATGTTCAGACGCTGACATTATTGTTATTATTATTGTTTAATTCTCCATTTATTTTATTTTGGTTATTGTTACCAGAATAATTAGTGATTATGAATGCTTCATAGTAGGTTTTAATTATCATTGCAAACTCCTCATCGGATATTTTACCATCGCTGAGATACGTGGAAATATATCCAGATAGTTTAGAGTAGGTTGTTGTTGCTATATGCAACTTTATTATATACTCACGCAATTTATCATTCGCACATGTAGTTATTTTTTAAGCAATAATACTAAGAATACCTGCTATAGTCGTTGAAGTTGAAACAAAAATTGTTATAATTGCTGGAGCTGTCATTGTTAATGTCGATAATATTAATCCGGATCCAGCAACAATAGCAGAAACTGAGTACACAACTATATCAATGACAACCATACGTCTACGATATTTTTTTTTTACCATTACTCTGTAATGGTCGATGTTATTTTTTAGTTTGGCCAGACATTCACATACTTGATTATATCTGTGACGTTGAACGTCAATAGATGACGTAGTCATTTGGTCCATTATACTATGACGTTAAGTAATTAATTGAGTTACAAATTCCAAACACCACCAGTAATTGGCTTGAGACAAACTTCTACTCGATGGTTCCAGCGTAAAAGTTTCTTCAGAATCTTTATTTAACAACACAGATACAGTTTAAGAAAAATCGCCAGTTGATGGAGATGTTGTGGATATTTTAAAAATTACAACACTAAGTACGGACACCCTATATATACCAGTGATCTCCGCGGTGTGTTTCATGGTTTTATTTTCTGGTGTCCACAATCCAAACCCAGGTGAAACTGTATACACAATATTTTTTATCTGATTGTGAGGAATTTTAATTAGGTTTGTTTTTTAAATAATATCCGGAATTCCACCGATAATATTGTTGAGTTTTGTGTTAATATCAGTAAGTTGTATATCGACATTTGGTGGACTTCCAAAAAATTAGTTATTAATTCTGTTTATGTTTCTGCGAAAACTCAAAAACGTATTTACGTGACCGGTAAAATCAGTTTTGAGCGTGACTATTTCATTGCTGAATGGAATCTCTTTATCTTCGACGTATTTTTTTTGTAGCAGCATCAAAATCAGATTCTAGTGTTCTTAAATTACTAATACCATTTTTGTTCATATTAAGAAATGCACGCATTATACCACCGTTGGCTAATACGTACTTAGATTCTTGATCGTCGACATATTTTTTTTTGTTGTAGCATCACTATCTGTAGTTGGATTTCCAAGATCTGTAATTTTATTTTTGTTCATAATAACGTTTCCACTAAATACACCGTCAGTCGTCCAGACATAATCGTTAACTGACTTAACTGAATGTTGTATTTTACCCTGATCAGTAAAAGTAACGATATTATCAGCAACTGCAGTAGGAATTAGTATAAGTACGTCTGGTAGCTGTATATTACTCGTTTTTAATCGTCCTTGCTTGTCCTGAAAAATAACCACTTCACTTTGATCCACACTTGCAATATTAAATAAATCATCAATCTCATTTCAGAGTTGATCGAGGTTTACATATTTAGATAAATCACCTTGCTGCTGAGCTTTACCACGAGCAGATCTTCCGTAAATATCTACCATTATATTTACTGATGTCTGTTTAAATGTGACAGCATAGGATATTAATGCACAACTTTATGAGGTGGTTTTCCTGGCGGTAATAGGGATATAGCATTAAGTACATTAAATACTTAACGACCACATATTGGTGGATCAGATAATGTTTGTGTTGGTAATGTAGAATACCAGATTGGAGCAGTATTATTACTGACATAATGAAGAAATTCTGTTGGTGGCGCTAATCCATATGAATTAAAATAAATAATTCCACGTGGATCAATTGCATACGCTACCCAGTGGGTACCTGGTCCAGAGTTCTTATCGAGGTTAATAATACCTGCTTCAGTATTGTTCGGTCGTTTTTCATAATTGATCGCGCATAAAAAAAAACCTCTTATTTTTTTTAATTTTTATCAGCATAGAGTAGATCAAAATTTGACATAGGCGAGATCAGTAAACTGTCCCTGGAAGGAAGTCTCAGACCTTTTCCGTACCATGAAGGCGGCGTCCCTGGTAATCTGAGACTTTTACCCTTTTTTTTAATTCCCTGTCCAGTTGCTTTCCTTAATGCCATTATAGCAGCAGTTCCAACAGCACCTAATGCAGCTGCTTTTGCAACAGCTGGGGCTGCAGCGGCTATTAATGCTGGTATAGCTGCGAGAAGGGGAAATATACCACCCGTTTCAAAAGTATCTTTGATAGCGCCTGCAGAAAGACTGAGTTTGACGCCTTTATTTGATTTTTTGCTCCGTTAAAGTTTTTGAATTGACGATCGGTCAACGATAATTTATTTGAACCACTTAGCTGTTCTTTTTTAACGATATTGTTATTCCACAGTCATTGTTTGATGCCGATTGCAGTCTTTTGACCTGACCATGAGTCAGGGTAACATTAGCGTGATTGTATGACATTTATATTATTCATAAATGATCTAATTACGTGTTACATATTTTCTACTGGGCATCGACGACTCTCATTCGTCCACCAACATCTTCAAGGAGCATTGATTTATCGCTAAGTATAACAGCAATTGCTCTGTAATTATCAATAGCTCCTCTTGTTACACTAGCTCGAAAATGTATATCGACTACAGATTGTCTGGCTAAATCTAAATGTTCGAGCGAAAAGTAATAATTCGGATATAAGGTTGTAAAATCTAGTTGCGATATTTGTAATCCAGTATCAACATTTTGATCACAGCCCATAAACGTCATAAGACGATGATATGCACGTGCTACATGATTTTGATCGAAATTCAGTAAAATATCCTCGGATGGTTCTTGATGTCCATTTATCCTTAATGAAATCTCAGAAACACCAAGACTGTCAAATATCATAATACTACGCGTTTAATCATTTACTCGTGCAGCATTTTTGTAATGCAATAAATATGTGTCTTGGTGCAGAAACACCTTGCTGAGAGGCTATTTGCCATGTAAATAAACCGTTAATATTACTCTGGATAGCATATGTGGTCATTGTCATCCATGACAGCATTGATTTACCCCCTTGACTTAAGAAAGATAGTAATCGTTGTTCTTCAGATATTGACGGATTCATTTTTGGCATCCACAATGAAAGTTTTGTGAGAATTACTACACCAGCATCATCGGCGGGTCTCCATATTGCATCATTGTCTGTAGCCTTTCGTACTAGTACAACTATA